TTTTACTTTATATTACATTTTAAAATGCTCATAATCAGATTACAGTTATTTTATGGATTTAAAGAAGAAGTTACAGGTCTGTGAGAGCCAGAAATCTTGCTTGTTTGTAGGTGACCAAATACTTATTTTACCGAGGAATTTACCAATTAATTCTTTAAAAATCCTACAATGTGATTTTCTGGATTTTTTTTTCTCATTTTGTCTCTCATAGTTGAGGTATACCTATGATGAAAATTACAGGCCTCTCTCATCTTTTTAAGTGGGAGAACTTGCACAATTGGTGGCTGACTAAATACTTTTTTGCCCCACTGTACTTTTACTTTATATTACATTTTAAAATGCTCATAATCAGATTACAGTTATTTTATGGATTACATGATTACATATTATTCACAAAATGGCAGTACATTAATTCTAATTCTAATTCCTCTATTTCCCCTTCTCTTTTAAAATTTCCTTTCTAAAAATCCTACTGTGTCATACCATTTAGCCTTGGATATATTCACAAATGTTGTGTAAATAAATGTGCAGATCATACTTCTGAATTTGTGGGAAAAAAGCACCACTCAACCAATTAGACCATGTAAGAAACCGATAATAATGCAAGTTACTTAACACTGATGATATATAGCTGTGAAACATGTTGTCATCAAATCCAGTGACTTTCAGTCATTTTTGATTCTGTAAGTCTGGGGGAAAAGAAATCTAATCTGGCATGTTTGTTAATGTTTGTTGATATACTGCAGTGATTCCCAATAGTTTGTGTCAGCCAACCCCCTTAAAATAAAATATTTATTTGAAATATCTCTGAGAAAGTTAATATTTCAAATAATTTAACTGCACATTTGCATGTTTATAGTTCTCTGATATCAGTTAATGGTGATATTGACATGTAGGTAAACAAATAAAATATTTATATTTTTAGTGTTCAAGTGTTTCAATTATTTTTATTTTACATTTTTACGGTTTAGCACTTCTTACATGAAGCACAGTTTGGGGAACCCTGGTGTAATGTAATGTTTAATGCATTTTATAATGTTGAAAATTAATAAATAAATAACAAAAAATAAAATGGAATATATTTTCATTCTCTTTGCTTTTTTATATAAGCATGGTATGTTAATGGTAAGTTTAAAACTATCTGTTAAAAAGTAATCCAAAAGTAACCTATAATAAATGTAAATGAAAATGCACTCATAATAAATGTATTACTATATATATATATGTAATACATATAAGTGTGTGTGTGTGTGTGTGTGTGTGTGTGTGTTGCATAAACTTTGTTTTGATGTTGTTAGCACTGCCCTTGATAATATTTCCATAAACCTTATGACCAAAATATTTTGCCATTCAAATTTTCTCTCTGAACATCTGATAATATTACATTAAATGAGAAAGAAGTGATTCTGTAAATGTAGAATGGAACTCTAATCAAAACTTTCCAAATAGGCATTTTCACAAAGTTTATGGGACATTGCATTGTTACTTGTGACTAAAATGTAATGTTGCTGTTTCGTACTGATTATTATTTATTTATTTATTTTGCATGTGATTCCTTGATTACTTTATGTGCTTAATTTTAGGTGTGGTACTGCAGCATAACCCAGTGGAACCAAACTCAGTGTTGTGAAATTCTTAAATTGTTTTGTGCTTCCTGAGTTGTCTCTTTACTGTAAGGAGATCATGTAACAGTAATTGATGTGTAAAATGACTTCCACTTAAAGAAGCTTTTGCCACACGAGTCAAGAGTGCACACTAATTGCTTACAGAGGCGTTTAAGTAAAAAGGTGTTTTTCTAGCTAGTGTCATTGCAATTGAGCATAATTGGGGATTCCATGATAGTGAGGATCAAAAGGAAAAGAATTACCTTGTCTTTTTTTTTAAAAGCAGTTCAACCCACATGCCACACGCAACCCAGGCCCTTCACTAGCTGCTGTACTGCTAACATTTCACTGCTTCAGTTAATGATTGTACCTTTGATATTAGGAAAGAGTACAGCTAACTGGCTGAGTGGTTTCCATGGAGATAGAGAGGAGATCTTCCTCAGGGTGACAGCAAATGTAAGGGTGTAAAGTATGTTAAGAGAAAAACTCAAGGGCTTTCTCACAGCACTTCTTCAAATATGTTCTCTATTCGGCAATATTCAGATTCAAATACTATAGTGTACTGCATACTGCACAGTATACTCTTTACAACTGCCTGTTTTTTTTGTGTGTTTTTTTTGTTTTTTTTGCTTTGTTTTTTGTTTGTTTTTGTTTTGTTGGTGGTTTCTCAAAATAAAAAATAGTTTTGTTTTGTTATGTGTTATATATTTGTTTTGTTGGTGTTTCCTCAAAATAAAAAATAAAAATAAAACCATAAAAGGGAGAAAAAAAAAACACTAGGATACTGCTTACTGCATACTGCACAGTATTCACTTTAAAACTGCCTTTTTGTTTTTTGTCTCAAAAAAATAAACCATAAAAGAAAAAAAAAATATATATATATATAAATATAGTGTGTACTTTAAAATATACTTCAAACGAAAAACGCATGGGGGGGGCTTTTTATATAAAAAGCACAAACTGATCATCAGAATCATAATTTAAAATATAAAAATAATGAAAACAAATGGTCCTTCACATCATCTTAGACTGGATCCAGATATATTGTATTCGGTGATGACTTCAGGTGCTTCCTTAGTTACCAAGTCTGTGCTGCAATTAGATTAAAAGGGCACACAGATGTTTTGCCAGTTTTGTTTGGAAGTAAGATTGCATGTCTGATTGAATGAAGTTAGCATCTCATTAAAAGCACTGTTCCTCTGTACAAGCCTGATCCGAGAGGTTCATGAATTTGAGTTTGGAACGGTAATCAAATGAGCGTCTCTAGTTGCTGTCTCTGGAGAATATCCAGTCATCGCTCGGCACGAGAACCTGCAAGCTTCCTCTGACAATATCAGGCTAACACAGGACAATTTCTCTCCCAATAGGGTTTTATGTGTGAGCGCATAGAGTTAAAAGAATAATACACCCAAAAATGAAAGTTCTGTCATCATTTTCTCCTCCTCATGTCATGCCAAAGCCTTATGCCATTATTTCTCTATTTCTCAATACTAATGATTTTTCTGTGGTAGTCTCTTTGCTGCTCTTATGAAATGTTTGAATGTATTAATGAATGTATGTAATTTATTTTAATACCATGCATTAGCCACAGTGCAAAAGGTGAAAAATTTAAGGGGGTCTGAATACTTTCCGTACCCACTGTATATATATATATATATTAGTGGTTTCAAAATTCGCGTGTTAACGCAGGCAATTAATTTTTTCAGTTTAACGTATAAAAAATATTTCACGCAATTAACGCAGGGGCGGGGCTAGGTTTGGCCACCCCACTCACAACTGCTATAGAATTGCGTTTATTTAGACGCGGAACATCTTTACGAACACATCAAAAAGGAGACTTTTCAGACGCACGCTCCAACTCAGTGCCAGGCGCGAGTCAAACGAGCGTGGAAACGGTACCGCGACGAGAAGCTTCAGTAGAACATCAGTGAACTGCGGTCAGATGAGATATTGTCGGGTCATATGTCAGTAAACAAGAATCTTCCTGTCCTGTCTGCCGTTATACTTGGCTCGTAGCGCGCACTTCAATTGCACGCACAAATGTGCCGGCGCGCTGCTGTATTAGGCTATATAAAAAGCTGTATCATATTCAAACCCAAATGAAACTACGAGTATGCAATGTCGTCATGAAGTTACAAAAGTGTGTATGCAAGTATTTATTATTTATGAGTCACATTTAAAGCAGTGTCAAATCCTCATCAAGTTCAGCAGCGGAAGCTCTTAAAGTAGCAGTCAAAATATCCTAATAATCAGCTGCTGTGATTTCTGTTAATCAGAGAACAAAATTAAAAAAGAGGAAATCAATAACTTCTGTAGCTTTAAGCTTTATCTTTATTTAATTTAGAATTTAGTGATAACTTTATTAAATTAGGCTATATTTTCTTGCTGAAGGGCACAGGTAGCAATATGACATTTATTATAATGGTTTTATGTGAAGATTGTTTTAAGTTCACTTAAATTAGAAGTTATTTTTTAAAGTCTCATTCAAAAAAATTAATAGAGACATCAGTTGGTATCAGTGATACTCGCCTTCAGTAATAAAAAAAGATAACTTAAAACAAATATTAAAAATGTACTTTGTTTATGTTGTTTCTACATTAAATTGAAGATTGAATTTGAAATTATTGCAATATAAAAGCATAATTAAAAACTTTGTTATGTGGGATTAATTTCAGAAAAAATGTGCGATAATTAGTTAATTTTTTTAATCGATTGACCTATTCTGGTGGGGACTTAAACCTGAATACACACAGACTCATGGGGACTCGTGTCACGGTGGGGACCTAAATTGAGGTCCCCACGGGTAAACAAGCTAATAAAACACACAGAATTAATTTTTTTGAAAATCTAAAAATGCAGAAAGTTTCCTGTGAGGGGTAGGTTTAGGTGTAGGGTTGGTGTAGGGCAATAGAATATACGGTCTGTACAGTACCATTACGCCTATGGAGAGTCCCCACAAGGATAGCAAACCAGACGTGTGTGAGTGTCAGTAAATATAAAGTTTGGCAAACTACCATTTCTTAGTGTTGCTTCTTCCTGGGTCAGTTGATATTTTTGGTTGTTTTTAGAGCCTAAAAAGAGCTTTAATTTAATCCATAAACTGAATACCATCCATTCCCAAATCTACACCCGTGACTCCACCAAGGCCTTCAAAATCTCATTTAATCCATTTAATTGCTGTCAGTGTAAATGAGGCTTTAACAGAGGTAGTTTTTATAATAGTATGTGAGTCATTCTGGTTGTTGATGCAGGTCTACATGTTGACGTAAATATGTATTATATATATATATATATATATATATATATATACACAGTATATATACAGTATATATTTAAGGTTTAGGTAATGTGTTTGTTCTGCCTTCATGAATGATTTGAAGACATGATTTGATTTTAATGTTGACCTACCCTCCGGCACGCCGTGCTCTCATTGTGGGTTGTGGACTCCAGATGTTCCAGCAGCTTTCTGGCATCAACACGGTCATGTAAGTCTCATTTACTCAAATCTTAGCTCAATTCTCAGGTGCTCTTTAAATCTCAACCTAAATCAATAGGTGCCAGTTAAAATACTATTATCAATTCTGTTATTTTCTTAGGAGGCCATGTTGTACAGTTCTTTATTTTATTTTTAAGCATTTTACTAAATCACTTATTATGTTTTTTTTTTGGAACAAACTCATAAACCCTGTTTTAGAAACCTACTTAGCTGCCTTGCGGTCTACATAGGGAACGTCTCGGGTTACCCATGTAACCATGGTTCCCCGAGAGGGAACGAGATGGACACTTTGGGGAATGCAGCCAGCATGACCGGTGCCTGAAGCATGTGTTAAACAACTCCAATCCTATTGGTCCACGTGGCCCGTGACGTCATAGGCGGGTACCCAAAAGTATAAAAGGGCACCTGCTGAATATGTCACCAACTCAGTTTTCTGAGGAGATGTAGAGGTCTTCTACCCGACCCGAGCCCGACGGGTCCCGAAATACTTTCGGGTTTCAGGTCGGGTTCAGGTTAATGTTTAATGAATAGCTTCGGGTTCGGGTCAGGCTCGGGTTTATAGCTAAACTTAAATTAATGTTTTTTCTTTTGCCTTGTGAACTGGCCGAGCCTTAATGATTCTCTTTCTTTACATGTATTTGTTTACTGACC